TCATCATCATCATCATCATCTTTTTGGAACACAATACACCAGAATTCACAACTGTGGAAAAGAAAAAAGTTTGGCTTATTGATCTCACCACACCAAGTGACAGTCGCATTGAGGAAAGACAACAGGTAAAAATCAGCCATTATCAGGACCTCAAAATCAAACTGCAAATCAAACCAGTATAGGTGGTACCAGTGGCCATCGGCACACTGGGTGTTTGGCATTTGGAAACAATGAACATTGACAAAATCACAATCTGTCAACTGCAAAAGGCCACTTTACTTGGATCTGCACACATCATTCGAAAATACATCACACAGTCCTAGACGCTTGGGAAGTATTCGACTTGTGATTTTGTGATACGAAATCCAACATATATATCTCATTTGCTGTGACGTACTGTGTTTTGTATCAGTATAATAATAATAATAATAATAATAATAATAATAATAATAATAATAATAATAATCTTTATTTATATTCTGCCTTATCTCCCCATAGGGACTAAGGGACGATTCTAGTCACAAAAACAGCAAACATTCAATGCCAATCAACTCTAGTCTCCATTTTCCTCCTTCAGGGCTGGTCTTATCATTAGGCAAAGCAAGGCAACTACTCTAGGTACCAGATGTTTGGCAGGGGAGTGGACTAACAGTGGCATCTCCAAGTGTTCTTCATCTACATAAGGATCCACACCATAGTTCATGAGAATCAAAGACTCACCCCTGTTCAAATACTTGCATTTTACCTAAAAGACCACAGCAATTAGCATGGTGAAGTCAATTTCCCTCTGCCTCCTCAAGGTTACCTACTAAGATCTCTTTGCTGATCAACACCAACATGTCAAGCTTTGTAAATCGATCTGTAACGAAAAGCAACAGGAGATGGAAATGTTTGGGGGAGTTTTCCAAGACTAGCCATACTTTATGTTAGGAAGAGGAACCCCAGTGAGTTGGACAATCCCTAGTACAGGGGTCCTCAAACTTTTTAAACAGAGCACCAGGATTATAATACAAAAATTAATGAATTCCTATGCACACTGCACATATCTTATTTGTAGTGCAAAAAACATTTAAAAACAATACAATAATTAAAATTAAGAACAATTTTAACAAATATAAACTTATTAGTATTTAAATGGAAAGTGTGGGCCTGATTTTGGCTGATGAGATAGGATTGTTGCTGTTATTGTGTGCTTTCAGGTAGTTTCAGACTTAGTTTGACCCTGAGCGAGGGCTGGGTAAATGACCTTGGAGGGCCTTAGTTTGAGGACCCCTGCCCCAGTACATGCATTCCATATTTGGATCAAAAGCAAAATAAAGTAGCAGCATGAGAGTTGATGAGCTTCAGCTAAGACAATTAAAGGGTTGCTTTCCTAACAACTGTTTATGTATATCTACATAGCACAGTTATCACACTATTTGATACCACTTTAATGTCATGGCTCCATCCTACACAATCCAGGGATTTGTAGTTTGGCGCAATACAATACTTAGAATTCTCTGGTAGAAAGTTTTGGTCTTCTTTCCCTGAACAACATCAATTATTTCCAAGGACATTGTCAAGCTACATATCCTAAGATGTGATAGGGAGTGATGATTGAAGTGCTCTCGAAGCATTGCAAATGGGTAGGATGAACAGGAAGCAGCTAGATTAAAGGTGATCTGAGAAAAGGGTTTGAGGACTTTACCCAATTCTTGAACCACTGTACAGATTCACCACTCATATTTTTGAATGACTGAATGAAGATTTAAATTCTGGGTGGCCATATTTTGCAGACAGAGAATAAGTAAGAAAACAACATCAGAATTAAGCTACACCAGGTGAACACAGTTGCTTCACTTCAGCAAGTAATGCTTTGCTAGATATTATTTTTTCAATCTGAGGCTGTATCTATACTACCAAGTAATGCAGTTTGAACTGTATTATATGGTCAGTGTAGACCCATATAATGCAGTTCAGTGCAGTTAATACTGCATTATATGGATCTATATTGACCATATAATGCAGTTCAAACTGCTTAATTTGGCAGTGTAGACCCAGCCTCAGATCCTACTATCAAAACAATACAATTTTAAAACAACAGTAAATAAAACTAACTGCCGTCAATTCACAGGTGCCAAGTGTCAGCTTCATATGGTTCCATCTATGGCAGCCTAGATCCATCCTGAGAAGCAGCAGACTCAGAAATCTGAGTCATTGTGTATTCCTTTTGGTTAAAAAAGTACTCAGAAAACAAGAGGAAAACATGTTGTAACTTGGCCAAGTCAAGTGACAGATTGGTTACAGTAAATTAAAACTTCTTAGCATATGTCTACTTTGCTGATGTCTCAGAAGGTTGCTATGAAATAATGATTTTTTTAATAGAATGAATGCTCTTAATAGTACAGAGTGTCTATTATCTACTGCCAAAGAAGGTAATGCAAATTCAAACCAAGGAGTAATCTATGGAAGCTATTAACTACAATTACTGAAAGCAAACTTGGTGCAAAATACATTACTATGAAGTAACATGTTAAGCCTCGCCAAGTGCTATAAGAGTAATGTGCTTTGTGTTGCTTTATTATTTTACAAACATAGACATACAAATAAAGAATGCCCTCAAATCTTCACAAAACAATCCTTGCCTTTAAAAAATCATTTAAAAAATGTCACTCATCACATGAAAAATTGCGAATGGGACAATGTTGCTAAAACTGTTTTGGAAAACAACAACAAATGGTTACTGCTTTGTAACTTTCCAAAAGTAACTCATAACATGTATTGATTGGCATCCTATACAGTGTCACATGCAAGTATTTGCGTCTTCCTTTCACAATGACCCCCCCCCCTCCCACACACATACATCTATTGCCATTCTTGGAGTGGGATTAGAGCCAGAGTTGAAATGATTACATCATTTGCCCCTCTGAGGACCTCTGCTGATTTCAGTGGACGATGCAATCATTTTGCATCTGGTTACAGGAACATAGTCAGATGCCTATCTAATTTTCCTGTTATCCATCAGTCAAACAATAGCCATTAGAGGCTTCAATGAGTCACTAGTCTGTTGAGTGGCCTACTGTAACATGCTATGCTAAAGTGTACCATGGAAGTTTCTGGCCAATGTCATTGACTGTAATGTGTTACAATAGACCAGTGGTTCTCAACCTGGGGTCCCCAGATGTTTTTGGCTTTCAACTCCCAGAAATCCTAACAGCTGGTAAACTGACTGGGATTTCTGGGAATTGTAGGCCAAAAACATCTGGGGACCCCAGGTTGAGAACCACTGCAATAAATACTTTGTATTTAGAAGTTCTCTGGTTTAAGCCACAGCATCTAAAGGCAGGGCTGGAAAAACTCACTGGAAAGCTGCTGCCAATTACTAGACAATACTGGGCTCAATGGACCAATGGTCTGATTCCATGTAAGACAACTTCCTATGATTTCTTTCTCATAATTCTTCACATGTCCACATAAATCACAGAGTTGAAAGAAGCCACAGGGGTCACTCAGTTCAACCACCTGGCAACATAGGGATAATCAAAGCACTCCTGATAGGTGGCCATCCAGTTTCTGTTAAAAACGCTTCAAGAAGGGAACTGCATCACACTCCAAGGCAGGGTATGCAATTGTCTTGACAGCCGTTACCATTAATAAGTTTTTCCTCATGTTTAAGTGAAATCTCTTTTCTTGCAATTTGAATCCATTGCATTGTATTCGAGTCTCCCAGTGGAGCAGAAAACAAACTTGCTCCGTCAATAGGTCATTCTTTCAAATATTTACACATTCTATCATGTGTAAACTCCTGGTGGTGCAGTGGGTTAAACCACTGAGCTGCTGAACTTGCTGACCAAAGCATTGGTGGTTAGAATCTGGGGAATGGGGTGAGCTCCCACTGTTAGGCCCAGCTTCTGCCAACCTAGTAGTTCAAAAACATGCAAGTGTGAGTAGATCAATAGATACCACTTTTGCAGGAAGATAATGACACTCCATTCAGTCATGCTGGCCACATGACTTTGGAGGTGTTTACGGACAATTCCAGCTCTTCGGCTTGGAAAATGAGATGAGCTCTACCCCCCAAAGTCAGATATGACTAGACTTAATGTCAGGGGAAACCTTTACCTTTACTTATCAATGTCACCTCTTAGTCCTCACCTCTCCTAACAATGGTCTTATGTTTTCAAATAAGAGATTGTGTGAGTGTGTGTGTGTATATATATATATATATATATATATATATATATATATATAGAGAGAGAGAGAGAGAGAGAGAGAGAGAGAGAGAGAGAGGGAGGGAGGGAGGGAGGGAGGGAGGGAGGGAGCTTTATATAGTAATACCTGCAATAGGGCACACTGAATTTAAGTTCACACTTTCATGCTACAAAACTGTAGAACTATCTTCCACTTGAATGGGCAGGGATGTGCCCCATGGAACCAGTGGTTTGTAACCTGTGAAACAACAGTGCTTTCTGGCTCAGAGTTCTAGTCACACTTCTAGAGACTGTAACTTTATAGGCTGTTGCCTTGGCATTACAATTGTTCAGAATGAAAATATGGAGCCCCGGGTGGCGCAGTGGGTTAAACCCCTGTGCCGGCAGGACTGAAGACCGACAGGTCGCAGGTTCGAATCCGGGGAGAGGCGGATGAGCTCCCTCTATCAGATCCAGCTCCTCATGCGGGGACATGAGAGAAGCCTCCCACAAGGATGATAAAACATCAAAAAATCATCCAGGCATCCCCTAGGCAATGTCCTTGCAGATGGCCAATTCTCTCACACCAGAAGCAACTTGTAGTTTCTCAGGTCGCTCCTGACATGACCAAAAAAAAAGTATGAAAATGGCTCTTGTTCTACCTAGGTGAGCCAGGGTAGTTGCTTTTGTCACTCAGTTTTACTTATTATTGTGGGACAGGAACTTTCAGTGACTTGTAAATCTCTCTTGGGTTTTTGCTGTCTTGCATAGCTCTATTCTATTTGCTGAAGTGTTTGAAGTCATGAAAATAATGTACAAACATTCACTGTCCAAATAAAACATCTTTATTCATTTATTGAACAGGTTAAAATACATGGTCTTTAGGACACTGGAGGATAGAGTGAGGTACTATTTTCCAGGAAAAACCATATTGACATCTACACAATGCTACAATGAATGGATATCACCCATAAATCCCTTAGGACCAGAAGAAAGAAATGTGGTGGATGCAGTATAATTCTGCTGTTGGCACAGCCTTTGAGATTTCATCCCCAAATCATGTTCACTCCTATTTTAGAACATGGAAATGCATATAGACCCACCACGCAATAGCGCTCCCCACCCCCAAAATGTTACAGATAAACTGTGCTGTGCAACTTGGAGAACAATGCTTCAACCACATGATGCTTTCAACCAGAAAACTGTGTGCTTATCATTGCACACAAAGGCTTGGATATCATGGCTCAGTTTCCAAAACTTGTATGTGTGGCAGAAAAGACACTGATAATTATCACATGTGCCAATCAATATCTAATTTGGGTGTGATTTCCTCCACGGAAATCGTGTTTCTGTCATCATATGTGAAGTGGCCCCAAGAACAATACACAGTGCTTTGCATAAATTTAAATAGCAAATTTGCTCACATTTTAGCTGGTTGTTTATACTTTCTGAAACCTAGCAGAAGCTGAATTTTCCAATAGTGTAGTTGTGATGGCACTTGGGGAAATAGAAGCAGTCCTTTCTTCTCTGGATGTATAATGTCTCGGAGGTTTTTGGGTACATCTCTAAATTCCTGGTCTCTAACCGGATGTAGAGGTGAACTTGGGCACTATCTGATTGTTCTTGCACACCAGGAGAGGGATAAGCAGTTAAGAGGGAAGGATGTGGCTTCTTTCCACATGCACAAGAGTAGCTGGACAGCATTCAGGCACATCTCTGTGGTCAGTCACTGGACAGGACGGTGGAACTCTACCAAGGAATTACCTGGGGCAAAGGTGTTGCACAAGGAAGTACTAAGTAACTCTTCCCATGCAATGTGTGTGTGTGTTTTTAAAAAAGGCATTCGAGTTTATGTTGACATAAGCTATCAGTCTTAAGTAACAAATCTTGAAATACCGTATTACCCCTTTATCCATGGATCCGATACCCATGGTTTTACTTACTTATGCTTCAAAGGTATTCCATCACTCTAAGAAGTGCTTGTGGATGCCTCTAGGTTTTTGGTGTGATTCTATAATATGCCTATAGCCCAAGTTGAGTCAAACTATAGAGTTCACTATTATCCCCAGTTTCAGGGATCCAAAGAGTGGTGATGGTGGTATCTTGGAACTTTTGCCTCATAGATACTGGGATCATATTTTATTCCTACTTACAGGTTCAGTTTTAAAATTACAAGAGACATAAGTCTTCTGTATGCATGACACCAAACATATCAGAGTAACATGTGGATGCCAGTTCTGACACTAGCATTTTCAAGTACATGCTACTTCCTAATCTAGCCACCTTTGCATGTTCAGTATGAAGATGTAAAAAAGCATTTCTCAGCTCTTATTCCTCCTGATATTTTGAACTGTCAAATGCCATAATTTTTGAGAATTGGCCAGTCTCGGTGGGGCTTACAATCCAAAACACCTGGAAGCCAAAAGTTGGGAACCATTGATCTAAAAGAATTTTCTGAGTGTCTCCAAATTAATGCATTTGATCAAAAACCACAAGAAAAAGGCTGCAGATAGTAAGAAACCAACTAAGAGTATTCAGCTGGTTGCTTTTAAAATCTCCCTCAGAGTTTATGAATGAAGGCGGGAGAGTTCCATATGTTGTCAAGTGCAACATCATAGAAGTCCCAGCCAGCATGGCCTATAGCGACATATAGTCTGTGCATTGTTTATTTTATGCTCGGTAGTGCTTCTGTGAGCCACCTCGAGTCCCTTTGGGGAGATGGTGGCGGGGTATAAATAAAGTTTATTATTTTATTATGATTATGAAACCTTAAGTCCAACAATACCTGGAACCTCCCTAGCTAAGACTTACTGATTCAAACCTTCACATTAATCCCTATGCTGAAAGTTGGGAATGGGATCTTGTGGGAAATTTTGCATGTGGTCCCACATTTTCTTCTTACCTTATTTGCATGTTTTGGAATAAAGTTGTAACCGAGCTCAAGACACAAAAATAGAGTAATACAGTATATGCATTTTTAAAACAATGTTGTTCCTTCCAACAACAATGCTGTTGTTAGCACAGAATGAAAAATTATAACCGTCCTTGTCTCTTATAGGCGGCTTTGGCTTGCATTAAGAGTCAAGTGCTCCCTCTTGATCCATGTGTGGGACCTGTGCTTTTTTGTGATATTTACCTAATGGTTGTAGTACACAAATCTTCGGTTCCTGGATACATGGCTCTCACACAAGGATAAATGCAGTCTTTCCGTGCATTTTATATAACACATGAAACATTTTATTTCCATAGCAATTGCATTTACTTAATCCCAAGTTGGCTTCCTTCATTTGAATATGAGATATGGGTAACAATCAATTGATTAGGTCATTAAGCATTTCTAGTCATTAAAAATTGCCTGCCAGCATTCCACAAACTCCAAAACAATTCGCTCTCCCTCCCAACATCGCTCTGCTTCTCTCTTTCAACCTCTTTAAGATCTCCTTCCTTCTTTTTTTCCATTTCAGACCTTGGTAAAGTTTTTTCTCAGATAACATCTCCCAGAATCCCTCAGCTAGCATGACTGTAGAAGAAGTAATTCCAAAGATTTCCAATTTCTCTTTCTCTCGCTCTCTACTTTCTATTCTTTCATCACATGCTTCCCCCTTTTTGAGATTACACCATCACATTTCACTTTGGCATTCTAGTTGCTGTGGGGAACTCTGTCTACCCTTAACTGTGTCTTGAAAATGACCAAGTTGCCCTGAGTATCTAAAATAATGTCAGACCACATCAGTTGAAGCAATTGTTCCGGCTCTTATCTCAGGTGCAGCTTTGGCAGCAGCAGGAACCTTTTACTGTTTCTTTGGAAGTTGATCAGCACTGTACCTCTTAAACTTGTCTCTGTTTCTCAGGCCTGATGGGAAAGATCTCCTACTGATGATTCAGCTGCTAGACCAAGTAAGTTCTATATGTTGAGTTGGGACAGCACTGTCTTTTCTGCCTCAGGCAGCAAAATGTCTTTAGCCCTGAACAAACCATCCCACTTGGTTAAATAACTCAATGCTACACAAGTCTACTTGCTATCTTCCAGGCAAATCCTATGTTAACCGGGTAAGAGATGATACTCCAGGTCACCTGGACCTACAATAATCTCCTTGTTGGAGCTGTTAGTCAATCACTTCACCTCTGAGAGAGAAGTGGAAGTCCATAAGTCCATGCCTGGCTTCCAGGCCAAACCAGTTTCAGACAAAGCAGAAGAATTTCTTCCATCGACATTTGGAGAGGGTCTTAATTCCCTTGGCAGTCATCTTCTTTTCCTGCTGGGCCTTGTGCTCCACAGCACTGACAATTGCTGTGTCAAAAACCTCCTTCAAGTTCTTCTGAGTCAGGGCAGAGCACTCGACATAAGTCTGAGCCCGGATCTTTTCAGCCAGGCCTTCTGCCTGAGTTCGTGGCACTGGCTTTACATGGTAGCGATCCAGACTGATCAGCACATTGACGTCATCCCTTAAGTCAGCCTGTGTCCCAACCAACACCACTGGGGTCTGGGGGTTGTGAGTTCGAATTTCGGGAATCCATTTCTCTGTAATGTTCTGGAAGGATGTGGGGTTGACAACACTGAAGCAGACCAGGAAGACATCAGTGTCCGGGTAACAGAGGGAGCGCAAGCAATCAAAATCTTCCTGTACAAGAAAAGGAAGAGACACAGTGAGTGGAGTTCAGGATAGATAAGCACCTAATTTGTGAGATCACGTAAAAGATAGCTTTATTCACCTTTCCTCAAAACTCTAAAAGCAGGAGATGTCAATCTTCCTTAAGTTTACAGACAAAGAGTTGGACTGTCCCAGGTACAAATAAGGGAGTCTAAGCAGGTATAGGGCAGTTAGATGTAATGGAAAACATTTAGAGCCCACTAAATGCACAAAACAGCCCCTGTTGGCGCAGTGGGTTAAACCACTGAGCTGCTGAGCTTGTTGACCGAAAGGCAGCAGGTTAGAATCCAGGGAGAAGTGTGAGCTTCCGCTGTCAGCCCCAGCTTCTGCCAATCTAGCAGTTCGAAAACATGCAAATGTGAGTAGATCAATAGGTATCGCTCCGGTGGGAAGGTGACTGCACACATGACCTTGGAGGTGTCTACGGACAACACCGGCTCTTTGGCTTAGAAATGGAGATGAACACCACCCCTCAGAGTTGGACATGACTGGACATAATGTCAGGTGACAACCTTTACCTTTTTCTACTAAACACACAACCACATGAGCAAATAAAGCAAACCAGTTCTTTCAATATATATTTGAAAGCCGACCTTTAACCTCTTTTTTATTCTAATGTGGTTTAGGGCCATATCCAGGCCCTCCCCAAGTTATGAACAAGACAGGTTCTATAGGTTTGTTCTTAAGTTGAATGTGTATGTAAATCAAAACAGGTACATTTTGTGTGTGTGTATATATACACACACACAACTTTGAGTAGCATAGAGAAGGGTTAACACCCTATGGTGTGTTTCTTTGTTTTTGTTTTTTGCTGTTTGTGCCCCGGTTCAGAAGATTTCAAGTCTCTTTCTATCCCTGTGATAATTGGATTTTGAAAAATTTGGCTTGTCGTGGAAACAAGAATTGGCAAGAAAACTTCAGTGAAGACACCTTTTCCACATGATAACTGCTAAAGGAGTGAATTTCCCTTACAAGGGGTAGATTTCTCTCACTTCCTGTTGCCTCGCCCATGTTGTTAATTGTAAATCGTATGTAACTCAGATGTTTGTAACTTGGGGACTGCTTGTACATGTTTGGAAATACTGAAAAGGCAAATAAACATATGTCTCCCCAAGCAAGATTTATCAGAGATATCTTACATTTTTAGGACCCTGGCTGTAAAAGCTCCCAGTTCATTTCAGTTTTTATATATTCCAGTTCCAATGTTACTGGAAGCATGAATTCACCATTGTCTGAACTTCAGAAAGTTCTTTTTTAAAGCTGTAACTTCCAGTATTAATCTCTGTAAGTACAATCACGCTGACTGGAGATTTTGGAGGTCTAAAAGCAACTCTTCTGAACTCTGTCATGATGATCAAGGCATTACTCACCTGCCTTGTAAGACCTGCCTTAGATTATGGAGCGGATATTTGTGCTTGAAATATGCTGGGTATGATTGTTTATCATTAATTGTTCGAATGCCAGCAATATTCCATTCCAATTCTGAACATCCTTCTTGTCACATTATTAAAATAAAAACTGCACACTCTGGGCCTTACCTGTCCTGCTGTATCCCACAATTGGATACGGACGGGAGCACCATCTACTAGGACCTGAACTGGAAATAGAAAGGAAAGAGATGAGTCATTGCCTGTTGTATTATTTCCATTCACTGTCTTTATATCAGAGCCAATGTGGTGCAGTGGTCTGAACACTGGACTACAACTCTGGAGAACAGGGTTCAAATTTCTGCTCAACCATGGAAAGCCAGTGGGTAACTCTGGGCATGTCATACTCTCAGCCTCAGAGGAAGCCAAAAAGCAACACCTGTCTGAATAAATCTTGCCAAGAAAACCCCATGCTAGGTTTGCCTTAATTTTGCCATAAGTCAGGAATTACTTGAAGCTACACAACAACAACCCCCTTGATATTCCTGTGACCATTTTGTATGTAAGGAATGGCACAAAATAGCACAATCCCTTTCCTAACTGAAAGCAAGAATGCTTGGAAACAGAGAAGGAGATACATTAGAATGACTTCAGAGGGAAATCAAAACTACATTCGAAGGTAAAACTTGGCATTGTCTTTTGGCTGGCAATTCACAGTTGGCATGGCTACAGCATTCCAAAACTCAATCCAATGCTCATATAAATCCACACTATTCACATGTGCTAACAGCTTTCAGCTACTGTGAGTCGATACTTATGTCTGATCATTCATCCCATTAATAAATAATAAACAGAACAGGCAATATATTCAACATAGCAAAAATCATATTTCCATCATAGGAAACCTACTGTCTATCTTTTCCAGGTCCTTACTCTCGGAGAATACACAAATTCTAGAGTAGTGGTTCTCAACCTGTGGGTCCCCAGGTGTTTTGGCCTACAACTCCCAGAAATCCCAGCCAGTTTACCAGCTCTTAGGATTTCTGGGAGTTGAAGGCCAAAACACCTGGGGACCCACAGGTTGAGAACCACTGTTCTAGACTCTTGGAAGATGCCAGCCACAGATACCGGTGAAACGTCAGTAGAACATGGCCATACAATCTGAAAACCACACAACACCCCAGTGATTCCGGCCATGAAAGCCTTTGACAATATAAATTCTAGACTATTTGTAATCCAAAATGTGACTTTTAAGACTCTCATTTATGCTTTAGCAAATATTTAAGACCTCCATTAACCCTCTCAGATATCTAATGAGTTGTTCATTTAGGAGTGCAAGTTCATTATTCACAGGAACCGCATCAGAAGGAAGAATGGCCTCCTAAGAAAGACCCATGTACACATGCCAATTCTCTTTTGCTTTAGCAATGTTAATGCATTCTCTCCACTCACCACCCCTCGTATTAACTCTTATGAAAAGAAAAGAAAAATTATTCAGATTTAGATTTCTTTTCCATTACTAACAATTAGCTCTGAGAATGATATGCTGAAGAACATTAATCTCTCCAAATATTTATAATAATAATAACAACCTTATTTGTATCCCGCCCTATCTCCCCTAAGGGACTCAGGGTGGATTCGTACAAACAAAAACACAATTTAGACAGGAGTAAACAGTTTATTACTCAATGGATCCCTCCCTATGATTGCATACATGCACGTATGCATCTAAGTGCATGGTCACACGGAGACACATGTATGCATGCACACACACACACACTCTTACATTATTTAAGTTTCTAAAGTTCATCAGGCACTATAAAAAGCTAAAAATCATAGAAACACAATCGACCTACAAATGAGGATAATTTAAAGCACAAAAGGAATAAACTATGGCAATTCAACACATATCAACATTTTTACCTGGATGGAAATAATGCAAAAATTCCTCACAGGTGATCACATACTTTGATTGCTCTTATGAATTGTGATATGTAATACCAAGGAAGTCAGAACTGGCTTTGATTTCCTAGTGTTTGTCTGTGAACACTGCATGTAGATATACTGTGAGACAATCAATTATTACAACCTATATGCCTGTTATTCACTATCTCTGGGTTGTTGTAGATTTTTCAGGCTATATGGCCATGTTACAGAAGCATTGTCTCCTGATGTTTTGCCTACATTTTTGGCAGGGATCCTCAGAGGTTGTGAGGTCACCTCACAACCTCTGAGGATGCCTACCATAGATGCAGGCGAAACATCAGGAGAGAATGCTTCTAGAATATGGCCATATTTCCTGAAAAACCTACAATAACCCAGTGATTCCGGCCACTAAAGCCTTCAAACAATACATTCACTGTCTCCTAGGCAAAGGTGCCTTTACAAAGCTGTATGAAAGATGACTTATATTCAGTGGCTCCCTTCCTTTGCTGTCCCATCGTAAATGGCCCAAATACCCTGAGAGCACTTGGATGCTAAGCAGTCTGCCCGAGTTAGTAATTGAATGGGAGACTACCAACAAATTTCAGGTGTTGTAGGCTATGTTTCAGAAGGATTCCTGCCTCATAGACTCTCTGAGGGTTCCTTGCCTAAGAAAACCCCATGAAATTAATGGGGCCACCATAAGTTGACTTGAAGGTGCACACACAGAGTTCTCTAAATACCCAGACCTGTTTAGTGCCAACAGTGAAACTATATGATGGATTACGTGCAACATGTACAACAGTGATATTACCTCATGACTAATTGCGAGGAAACCTTGCATAGTAAAACACCTCAACCAACAGCTTGAGAAGCAATTTTAAATGTCCTCCCTTGGCAGGTTTCAAATTTGGTTCATATTTTTCGCAGTATGCTGGTATTCTTCCATGAATATAACTTAACCAATTGTGGGAATTACGTGATCCTCCAGTGACTGTGCTGGGTAGAGCTTGCTAGGGATCGCAGCCCAACAAAATCTGGAGAACTGCATGATTTATAACCCTGCACCAAACTCTATCACTACTATCGCTTGAAAGCAAAAAAGTTATTTTATGTGAACCAGAACTTGTAAAGTTACCTTCAGAATACAGATGAGAAATACAACTACAGCCCTCCAGGTGTTTTGGATTTCAACTCCCACAATTCCTAACAGCTGGACTGCCTAAGTCTGTCCCATGTCTAAACTAACCAAACCACTATTTCCTTGTGACACTGCTCTCGGTTTCCTGCTTGATTTTCAGCTGAAATCTCCTCTCCAGTGACTGATGCCCTTTAAATCTTCTGAGGCAGAAGAAACAATAATAGTCTGCGATTGTGTATACTGCTGGGATGGATCTAGTTGAGGATCAATGGGAGGGGACAGAAAGAACTAGGAGAGGATGAGAGCAGCCAAAGCAATCAAACACCCCACTTTGTTAGGGCAAGTAGAGTGAAGAGCTGAACAATTCAGTCTCTTAAAGATTCCTGGAAATTGGGGCTATTGAAGAGAGAATACAGCAGGCAGAGAGAGAGGGTGGGTGATTAAATAGAAATTGAGAGAATATGCATAATTAGCATGCATGTGTAATAAGGAAAGAAAGCACCCTGCCCTAAAGGTAACAGCTGCTACTTAACACCAACTAGTGATATTACCACTGTATCCTTCATTCAACTGGGTGTGTGACCGTCTTTTATTTTGCAGTGAGAAAGGGCTAATATTTTCCAAGGTTTATGTAATTAGCAAATGACTAAGAAGCACGACAAAACAACTGGTTTCAGAATTTGTAGCACTTTAAATTATGGGGTGAAATAACACTTGCTTCCTCGGGACCATACAGTGAAATCAGACAAAGCTTTCCCTCATCAAATTTCACCCTAAAGCCTTTCTCCATTGACAACAGAAAAACATCCTGACCATACAATAAGAACTGGTGTTGTTTGGATGGACAGTCTTTAAAAATAATAATGAGGAGTTCATTACAACTGGGGAAACTAGCCTGTTTTGTCTGGGAACCTGAAAGAATAAATGGCTGGATAATTATGGGCTTCTACTGCCTTATATAAGGGAAACTGAATACATGTTTTGTTTGCAAAGGAATGAAGAAACAGTTTCTGTATTCCTTATCCAAAATGCTTGGGACCAGATGTGTTTTGGATTTTTTTTAAAAAAAATGCATATTTATAATGAGATATATCTTGGAAATGGGACCTGAGTCTAAAACATGAAATTCATTTAATTTTCATATACAACTTATAGTTTGAAGGTTACTCACAATTTTAATATTTTTTTTGCATGACAGAAAGTTTGAGTACACTGAACCATCAGAAAGCAAAAGTGCCACTATCCTAACCACCCAGGTGGACAGTTTTGGATTCTGGAGCATTTAGGATTTCCATAGAAGGAAAGCTCAATTTGTAGATGTATTTCTATTACTCGTGAATTTTTGTGATCATACAGATGCTATGCAGAAAGTACTATTTGTGTTTTTTTTTCTTGTGTTGTTGCTGCTGCTAAGAATCAACATTATTAACACCAATGCCAGGATAGTGCCTGCCATCATGGTAAAATAATGGAACATTTAAACGGGATGTTTATCTCATCTGCAAACAAGAATTACATATTTCTCACTGGTTTAAGATGAGCATTGTCCAGGTTTGAGCACACAATTCATTATTTAGCTCTGTGTGAGCAACTACTGTGTGGGTTTATGATTAACACTGGTTGTAACTGAAAAATATTGATCCAGTTCAGATGCTTGCAAGCTTCATTCACCCAATCTATAAGACTCACATGTTCACAAGTTTCACTGCAACACCTCATAGGCTCCACATTCCCATTAAGGCCCCCCAAAGGGATATTGAGTGGGATGGGGCTACATCTAGCAAGCATGTTATCTCCACTGGTCATGATTCCTGACAGGCGTAAAATCCAGGAAACCTCTCTCATGTGTCAATAAGCATTCAGCATCTTTTCTCATGTGCACCCAGCTTGCAGATGCAGCAGGATCATAGGCAATATGCTGTGTGTCTCTGGAAGCTTCTATGAATCCCAACTAAACATATCATTTTACAAAAGTAACCCCAGGATTTTCATGTGAGGCACAGGAAAAGTTTGGTCCTTGTCCAAAAACAAAAGCAAAACAATTCTGAAAAGACTTGACTGCTGAGCCTTGGCAAGTCTTGCTGCTTTGTCCTGGCAATGTCCACAAAAGTATCAGTCTGCTAAGCCTCTTTAAAAGTTTTAAGATTTGATAGGTGTATGATAATA